CTTTTGAAATTGCTGCAGGAAAAGTTTAAATACCATTGGATAGAGCAGTTTATAAACTAGTTATGTCTATATAGGGTAAATATGGTGGTGTAAGAAGTAATTTATGGTTTTGCGGAAAAGTGACTAGACCTAACTCCTGCAGAGAACAACAATGGAATCTAATGGGAAGTTTAAAATACTTATGAAAAATCTGGGAGTTGTTTTTTTAGTTTCTTTAAACGTTTTTTTTTGTCCTTGAAAATGCTTTCATGTTAAATTATATTTGTTTGAAAGCTATGGAATTTTTCTTCTACAACAAGATATTAACTAAACTTCGTTAGGTTTAGTGAGTGCAGTAGGCAATGGCAAAGTATCCCAATGATTCAAATCCCTATTTATTGAATATTATTGTGAAGTTTATCATTTCCAAGCAATGCATTTAAATAAAGTATTATATTTTGAAAATAAACTATATTAGATACATACTGATCTTAACCAAAAATACTCTTATCTAGTCTGACTTAATGACATTTTCAAAAGGTCCTAGATCACTGACAAATCTTTGGCAGTTTTTGAAGTGTTATTTACTGCTTGCATCTAGAACAGCTGACTGCTGCAATCAGCATAATAAAGTATCAAAATACCCACATCGATGAAGATGTATAAAATGGAACTTTCTGATCAACAATAATGACAAATTTCCAATATGAAAAGAAGCGTTTTTAAGGTATTTTTGAAAGTGTCTGACAAATTTTTAAAATTTCACAACATAAAAAAAAATGATAGAAAAACTAAACCAAATAACACATTTTTAAAGCTGAAACTAGATATTATTTTGTAAGTTTGTTCTATGTGTCATGTAATGTGGTTAAGAGTTTCAAATCACTAGTTAGGCCTCACTTAAAATACTCTGTACAGTTTTGGGCCTCCTTATCTTAAAAAAAAACGATACTGACTTATTGGTAAGGATTTAGAAAATGACTATTAGGCTGACTCCAGAAATAAAGATGTTATCTTACACAGATAGTTTTAGATCTCTTTAATTTGTTTCCTCTTGAGAAAAACAAAGCAAGATATATCCTTATTAAAGTTTACAAAATCATCTTGGGATCAATAGGTTCCTAATATCTGCGTGCTGTATTCTGAAAACAAAAAGAACATAGGAACACAAGTTTTATTTTTCCATCAGGGTAACTGGCTTATGAAATGAGTTGATATTGGCATTATTAGAGGCAAACTTTTTTAAAGTTTAAGAGGTTAATCAAATATTTTCTCAAGGCTAGGTGTTCAAAAAGAGCCTTGAAGAACCAAAGGACCTTTTGTTGTCTGTGTTGTGCTAAATATTTTAAATAAAGACAAATTTTGTCATCCTTTACCAGTTTGTGAAACACATTTAAAAACAAACAAAAATTATATTAATATTTGTCTTTAACTGACTTATTTCACAGTTTTTTTCTTACATATGAAGATACCTAACCTGTAAGTATGGATACACACCTGTAGTAATGTAGTCAATAATCTTACTCCTGACTTAGTCCACATAGGGTAGACACCTATCTTTTTGGCAATGACTCCTGTCCTCCATGACCTGAAGTATTTTATCAGTACACATTCATTTAGAAAACTTTTATTAGAAAGCTCTAACACACAGATCTGATTTCAAGATTATTAAAAGTAAAATTAAATGAGGTTTAAAGTAGTCTATTACTGGTTTCTGTACATTTACTGTCACACTCATGATAATAAAATGTAGCATTCTTTTCTGTCACCAAAGATCTCACTCTTACAAATTTAACATAACAGCAAGCAGGGTAAGAATACTTGTTTATATGCTCACACAATTTATGATATAACAAGCCTGAATACCATTTACTGAGAACTTGCCTTCCATATAATATTTTTTTGCCAATTGAATTGTTTTTTAAAAATCTAAAATACATAAAAATAAAAAGGAACTGGTAACTCAGAAAATAGAATCTCATTGGTTGAAAAGAAACAAAAAGTAAAATTTTTATCCAAATTTAAGTAGTACTGTGCTATTCAGACTTTTGAATTTAACTCTATTATAGTAAATAAAACCATTTTTTCTACTTTCTTCAGGCAGTATATAAAATATTAAACAAAGTTGGAAGAAAAACTAATTTTTCAATGTAGAACACATGAAAGACAGCATATACTTGTATTTACAATATGTATGTATCACCTTAATGAACCAATACAGAAGAATGGACTAATTTTACTATACAATCCACTACACCCTTTAAACAATTCTATGATAGTCACACTTCAAAGATACCCTGAAGTCCATTCTCCCTTCTCCCATGGGGGTTCTTTTAAAGGACTTTCTCCAGGAGCTAAAAACTTGTCTTTAATGACATCCTGGAGACTTTGCTTGTTTTCTTTTGTCAATCCTTCTTCAAAAAACTTCCTTTTTCTCCTAGGCCACCAAAAAGGAGGTTTGGTCCTCCGTCGTTTAGGAGTATTCCGACCAAGCCATCGAGTTTGTACATTCCCTCCAAGAACACTAAAGTGAGAATAAGAACAAATTGGCCCGCAATTAATCTCTTGATAAACATTTTCTTAACTATGGTTACTATCTGTTTTAGTACTAAATTAACGGGCTAATTCACGAGTCAACATTAGCATGTTGGAGATTACGTGAAAAGGATAATAAAAGAATGCTTTAAATTGTAGTTTTCAGACTGGTGTTGTTTACATAAATCAGGATTTTTATGTTTGTTTCTGGAGAGGTGCTTTACAGATAAATCATGATTTGTATTATAGTTTCCAGAGTGGTTCTGTTAACTAACAAAGAGCATGATTTTCTACTGTAGTTTTTATCTAGTTTACCATTTGTTTAGGTATAAGCAAATAGTGATTTCTGCTTGTTAGAATTAATTACAGGTGGTGTCAATTACAGCAAAGTTGGCACTCGTGAAGGTCCTTTAAACAAATTCTAGAACTAAAAAATCAATTTAAAAAATGGACTTTGTGTATTTTAATTTGGACTTGCCTTCTTATAGTGGCAACAACAATACAAATAGCTGGATGAACATTGGTAAATATTTATTTGCATAGCTCATAATAACTCATCTCATTCACACTTGCCTTAATCCCCCAGTAAGTCAGCAATAAACATTTGCAAACTTACAATGCCAACATCCAGGGTTCAATTCCCCATGGTGGACAGTGTAGATAGTTTATTGTGTAGCTTTGCAGTGAGAAAAAAAAAAAACACCAATTACCTCACAGAATGTCCACTGGTCATACATTATACATTTCTGTAGTACCTGTTTTGTATTGGCTTTGGTGTAATATAATATACTCACATGATTTAAATGTGCCTTCTGACGTGAAAATTTAGCTCTTGGCATTTTCTATATTGTATTAAACTCAATCATGTTACAATCTATTTCAGCACTAAATGGTTTTACAATTACTAAATAATAGAAAAATGTAAGAATACTTTTGCTGAAGGATAAAAACACCTTCAGAAACTATACAAGTACTAAATGGTTAAAACAAAAATTTCTATTGCCCACTGATATTTACAACCTATAGAAATTAACAATACTTGACTGGTCATTTGACCCAATTTTTTAACTTGTCAAGCACCTAATTCTACTTAAGTCTGTAATTTAATTTTAAAACAAAAACATTCAAAACATGCTCGCAGCATATATATAAATTATAAAGACTAACAAATTGTTTCTAAGGGTATGCTATACTTATATTTATACTGTTAAAATATCGGCAATATTACTCATGTAGCGTTTAAAACTGAGGAGCAGAACATATGAAGTCTTAGGTTTACATTACAATACAATTTATGCTTCATTCCAAATGGCACCGAGTATTAAAAAGAGAAAGAGAAATGCTTTTTTTTTTTTGCATATATTACTTTTTAAATTACCAAGTTCGTTTTGCTGAGCTAATCACAAACTCAAAAATAATTCCGGGGCTAATGCACACTGCATCTTTTATTAATCATTTTTTCATGTATCTATACTTGAATTTTAGGATAGGTTAATCCTCCATTGACATTATGGTTACAAATAATGATACAACCTTAAAATTTTATTAAAATTTCAACTTCGCACTCTTACTTTTCATATTAAATTCTTCCATTGTAAGTTGTAACTTAAAAGGAGTTATAAGTAAACATGAAAAAATCAATGTTGCTCACTTATAACTCACACAGATTTCAAACACACATTTTAATCTTACCCTATACATCCAACAGAAAGGCTATTTAAATTTATCTGAAAATTATAATATAGTAAGTATGACTTTCGACACACAGCAACTAATCCGCTAAACGCCATGCTATCTGCATGTAATCTTAAACACTTTTAGTTTTAGAATTACAGTGCCCTCTGTTGCCTAGAGACGAAATTATATATTTTTTATATGACTCAAAATCGATTGCAATGACAAATTGTAGGCATAAGGATAATTATTAGTTCATATCTAACAAAATCAAAATAACTAAAATTAAATACAAAAGAGCAAAATTCGTAAGATTTGAAAAATGTAGCTAGATTAAGAAATAAATTAAAAGTTATACAAAGATACTGTTACGATAGCGGAAGTCAGGTGACGCTGGTAAAACGTAATGAGTTCTAGAAAGATCGAGGAATATCACAAATAATCCAGTATTTGCTAGGCGCCCTCTATTCTTGTATATAAGTGCGCCAGACAATGAATCGGATTTGAATAGCGGACAGAGAGATTGAAGATGTAGACGGGCAATTGATTCAAGCGCGGTAGTAAGTAATGTGCGTGAATCGTTCGTTGAGAATTATAGCGGGTGTTGAAGTGACTGTGGAAATTAAGTGTATTGCAAAGTTGTATTGAGAAAGAATAAACTAGTTTTATTTAAGAAAGGACTTGTATCGCTGAAGTTCTTCCTAAAGAATTTTTACGGGAAACTAACAAACGAACAGAGACCTAACAATATTGTTGCGTCATCGAGATCACGTGACTATTCTCACACCCTTTTGTTTCTAGAACTATCCCGTATCTTGGCGAATGCTCTAGTATTTACTAGATAGGGTAGGCTGGTATATAAAAGAGGGGAATGTAATGTGTGTATAGAGTGAGTAACTGATCTGCAGTCAGAAGTATTATTGAGGACGTT